GCACCTTAACCGTTCACCATTGGCTACTCGGATTTCAAATGGCTCGATCGTGGTGGTGGACAAGTTTAGCTTTTGGGACAGCGTGGTGTTGATGAAACTATGGGATGACCCATTGTCCACGAGTACGACCACGCGGTGGTCCTTGGCCCATGCCGGTAGCCGTAACGTTCTCGGCCCTCGGGTACCAGCCATGGCGTGCATCGAGATTTCAGCTTCGTCCTCGAGCACTTCAGTTTGAACTTCGCTCTCCTCAGCCTCGGGTTCTTCCTCATCATCGGAGTCCGTGACATCGATTAAAAACGCCTGCTTGCATCGGTGGCCCGGTGTAAATTTCTCTTCGGATTTGAAGCACAGGCCTTGCTCGCGTCGGCGCCTTATCTCCTCGAGCGACAGACGCTTGACTTCCAGGATTGGTGGTCGAGCGTTACTTGGTGGTCGTATGCTGGGCATGATATTCGTCGTGCGCCGTGGCTCGGGGAAGCGTGCGTCCGCCCGTCCCCGTCGCGTAGCGGCGAGGTGATCGTCGCAACGTCGAGCGATCTCCATGGCCGCATGCATCGAATCGGGCCGCTCGAATCTAACCTCCGCGGCTAGATCATACTTAAGCCCGCCAATGAATACCCCGACCAACGCAGCCTCGGGCCAGTCCCTAACGTGACAAGCTAGCTTTTCGAACTCCTTCATGTAATCGCGCAGGCTGCCGGTTTGGCGTATGCGCGAAAGGGCCTCGTCGTAGTTATGGTAGTTGGAAGTTCCGAAACGTGTGAGTAACTCGCGTTCGAAATCACCCCATCTAATGGCTCGCTGCCGTTTGCGGTATACATTCGTGAGCCATTGCCACCACACGTTGGCCTCGCCATCTAGGTAATAGGCCGCGTATCGAACACGGTCATTAGCCTCGGTCTCGTTGAGCTCAAAGTATTGCACGGCCCGGTTGAGCCATGCCTCTGGATCGGTGCCGGTGAAGGTGGATAGCGTGAGCCGCGGTTTGTCGAGCCTCGGGCAGTCGTGCGCGTTAGACGCTTGTGACCGTCGATCGAAGTCCTCCTCGTGCTCGCGCTCATCGGGACGATGTTCCTCTTCCTCGGGTCGATGGCGCCTTGGCTGTCGTGAAGGTGGCCGGGCAAAGCATTGGAAGCCGCGTACCATCTCCTCGAACCTCCGGTTCACGGTTTCCATTAGATCCCGAACCGATGCCTTGGTCGTGTCGAGCCCTTCGTCAAAGGTATCCATGACTTCGCTCATACTTCGAACTTGAGCGTCAAGATTATCTATCTTGTCCTTCATCTCCTTATTGGCCATCGCTTTCTTTTCTTGCTTTCGCTCTTTGCTTCGTGGACTCGTCTTGAAGATTTTTTTATTTTTTTTAATAGGGGGACGAAAATAAAGAAGAAGAAAAAGGAAAGGGAATGGGGTAGGAAAAGACACACGATCTAGATACTCTCAATGAAAGCACCAATGATGAAGATCGCGTGTCCCGATTGCCGATAAGCCACAAACTCGTGCCTTGAATCGCCGATAGGTGTCTCGAGGTTTGCACAACCGCACCCCTTGAAACGATAAAATTGCAAAAGAAATCGAAAAGATATCTAAGGCAAAGTGTTTGAACAAAAGTTCGGTTTTTCTATTAATTTCTGAATGAATAATTTCGAATGACAATGGGGCATATTTATAGATGCCAAACTAAGTCTATTCCTAATCTAAAAAGAACTCCTAATGCTTGGAAATAAATAAAGTCCTAAGGAACTAAATCACTAATTAAAGCAATAAAATAATAAAGTCCTAAACAATCTAGAAATCAGAATGGAATAAGGAAACCAAATAACTAAGGGATCTTGAAAAGTCTTGATTTGCACTCCAAGCCAAACATCCCAACCCTCTATTCGCCGCCCTTGGGTCTCGCGCGCCTTGCCTTAGTCCTCGAGGATTAAGGTCGCGCCGCCCGTCCCCGCGCGTGCTTCCCCGCTGCGCGCCCCGCTCGATTCCTCGCGCCCAGCAGACTCCTCGCGCGCGTACCTGCCACCCGAAACCTCCTCGCGTGCATCCCTCGCGTCGCGCGCGTCCGCGCCACTCACCTCACCTTCCGCGGCCACATTTTGCCCGAGCGCTAGCCGCCCGCTCTTGCCCGTTAGGTTCCCCTCGTCGGCCTCGCATGCCCCGCATGCGATGGCCTGCGTCTCGCCCGCCTGCCGCGCTAACCTCTTGCGCGCATGATAGGCCCGGCTTGAGGCGTTCTTCAGTTGCCTAGCCACATCCGCATCACCGAGGCCCAGCGCCCAGACAGCGACAGGTCCAACTTTCCGAGCCCAAATCACCAATCTGTGGCCCAATTGTCTCGAGCCCAAATTGGAGGGATGATAACTAACTTAATAAGAAGCTAATCCATCTTAAGTTTCCCTAAGCAAGTTTAAGAGAAAGTCAACTAAGGCCTAAGCAAAGTGGAGCATGTGCTTACCATTATTATTTCAAGAATGCTTGTCCTTGTCCCCCATTATTGGATGGCTTGACCAAGACCCAACCAGACCTGCTTCTTCACATTAAAATAGTCCGAAATCCCACCAAGATGCTCTCCAAAAACCGTGCATGGCATGTCCCAAGACCAGCCCTAAATACTATGCACCTAAGTGGAGGAATCTCACCTCCTTTTGGTCCCCCTTTGACCAACCATGTGCACTCCGCCCTTCCATCTATATAGGACTCATTTTTCAGTTATTATAAGCTCTTACACATCCAAAAGCTCGAGCAACACTTAGCAAAAATCAAAGAAAACCGAAGGGAACCCCTATAGCCACCACGTGCGCGCTGGAAGCCCGGGAAGGGGAAGGTCCGCACTTCAGCCACCTCCAAGCCATTTCTTCCGAGGCTTATCACTATCCAAATGTTTCTTGGATTTTTATAAGTCTTGGGAGTTCATAAACCTCGGCCAAATCCCACTCCAACCCGAGCCTAAGTCCCAAAGTCGTGAACAAGCCCCATTCAAGCCCTAGTAGCCATTTTCGATTTTTGGTGACTGTTAGCTCGACCTATCTTTTAACCATAGCTATTTTATGATATTTTAGGATTTTTCATGAAGAAAAATCGAGCCCTGCATGTGTTTAAACTTAAAATCTGAATTTTAGAATTAAATGGCCTTAAGAATAAATTTTTGGTAGCAAGCATGCCTAAGTCGAAATGTATAGCTAAATCACCCTCATATATTCATGAAAATGGGCCATTTTGGACCCCCGAGCCTTAGTACAATGCATGCAAGTTATGACTCAAGTCTTAGCCCTTATAGTTATCATTTTTGATGATAAACATTGGGCCATTATCATAAGTTTAAGAATTTTTAGTTGGTTCGAAGAGTTAGAGCTCGTAGGTGCCATATACACCTCCCGAGCCACATGCATGTAGACCCGGGGTCTACTAGTGACCCTTAGCATTTTTGTGGCTATTTTATCATATTATGATGTTATGTAATACATGTCACAGAAAAAAGTCACCGGAGGTCCGGCAAGGGCCGACCTTGGTCACTGGCCGCGCATGCAGCGCGGCAATGCTCGGCTCGCACCAGCTCGTGCCTTATAGAGGTTAAGTTTGCCTCTGACAGTGCTGACCAGTGCCAGTCCTCGTGTTCAGAGGCTAAGTTCAGTCGCGGCTCGTGCTCACGCCCTGTAGGCGTGACACACCGCAGCCTAGTGCACACGACCGCGCCCGGCAGCGCGAGTACGTGCCAGCACGCGTGGTGGCAGCACCTAGCGTGCCCATGCCATGCGCACGGTGCCCGGTAGCACTGTGCCAAGCCCCAGCGCACGAGGCCTTGCGCCAGAGCCTCGTGCCATGCCCATAGCCGACCCAAGTCGGGTCTGTTGGGCCCAGTAGGCCTCGGTGCGTGGCCAGCAGCACGCCTGAGTGCCCAGTGACATCAGGGACGCCCGAAAGTGCCCGTGTGGTCTCCGTCCGCGTCTACCCCGCACCCAGCTGCACCTGTCCATGCGCAGCCGCACGACAGGACCTCAGTTGAGTCTCGGCCGTGCTCAGTAAGCACCCGAGAGGCACCAGCCGTGCCAGGGCCATGCCAGCAGCCTCTGGCCGTGCCCATCAGCGCCCAGCAGCACCATGACCGAGTCGGCCGCACCAGATGTGCCCAGCGCCGTGCCCGGGCACCAGTAGTCCCGGCATGGTACCATTCATTACCGCCACATTCGGTCCACAGTTGGCCACAGTTGAAATCTATGTTCCGAATGCATTTCATCGGATTACAGCCATGCCGAACACCAAATGAGTCGATCGGCGAACATCATTCAGGGAGCTGACGAGAGCCTGAAGGATTACATCATCCGTTTCAACGATCAGGTGCAAAACATGGAGCCGTACCATTAACAGACCCTATTCGTTTCAGTCTACTCTGGGTTGAGACCGAACTCAATGTTCCGATGGGCCCTATGCCATAACAAAGCCCAAACCTACCATTAATTCTTGTTGCAAGCACAAAAACACGTGATTGCGGAGGAGAGCATGTCTGTACCAATGTTTGGAGCCCCGAGCGAGCCACCAGTGAAGGCTAAAAAACTAAAAACCGAACAAGGAGTACCAGAAAGAAGGGAAGACCGCACAGATACGAGCGTTGCAGAAGAAGTACTATAAAGAACTGGCGAACAACTATCAGGGAGTCTATTCGGTCGGCGCATCTGTCGTTTATAAAGAGCTCAAGAACAAAAGCATCATACCTGATTTGAAACCAATCTGGGCCGATGAGGAGCACTTGGACAAGTCCAGATATTGCGCGTACCACAAGTCGCATGGTCATAATATGGACCAATGCAGGAACCTAATATCTGCCCTTTTGAAACTGATTGATGATTCGTAGGTAAGAAGATTTACCAAAGCAGTAGGCGGCAATCGACGCCCCAAAAATGACGAACAGATAGAGTTGAAAGACGAACTTGACTTTGAACTGAACCAACGAAGAATGAGGGATCACCCCAAGGAGATTCTCACCATTAGCCAAGAACGACGGGATGAAACGAGTACGTCTAGAATGGGTCGGAGGAAAAGGACCGTGTCCGTTCGTGATGGAGAAGAATCGGTCAACAACCCGATCAGTAGAAACGTGCCAGCTGGAAGACTCAACACGAGCTGAGGGGACTCGGGCGCATCCAGGAGACAGGTCAAAGCGTACGTACGCCGAGGGTAGAGCACATGGTACCAGGTTAGCCGTGCTAAAGTAAGGGAACAACTACCCGTGGCCACGAACCTCATAATGTTCTCGGATGAAGATTCATATTTGTACGACCACCCGCACTCGGATGCATTGGTGATCACAGCCCCGGTCTTCTATTCCACGTTCACCGAATCATGGTAGACACAGGTGCTTACTCAAGCATCCTGTACTGGACCGCCTTTTTGAAGATGGGGATTGATAGAAGTGAGCTTCACACGTATAATGATCGAATCACGGGGTTCAACGGATAGACGACCTTGCCGGAAGGAAAGATCACACTGCCAATCGAAATTGGAGGATCGAGGCCGAATGGGCGAGTTATTATGGAAACGTTCAAGGTCGTAAAGATGAACAGCGAATACAACACCATTCTGGGACGAACGACTTTGTACAAGTTGAAGGTTGTTGTGTCAATTTTTCATTATTCGATCAAATTTCTGATTAAGAACGGAGTTGGCGTCCACTACGGCAATCAAAGAGTGGCCCGAGAATGCATCGTGGCGATTCCTTCGCTCGAGATCCACTTGGTTATGACAGCAAATGGAGTACAAAACCCGATGGCGAGGCCGAATGATGAATCTAAGGAGCCGACTGAGCAGGACATTCCGACGCCAACCGAGCATCTCGCTGACAACTCGGTGACCAAAGGGAGGGAAGCCATTGAAGGAAGTGTACCAGGGGATCACCAACTTCTGACCGACCCGATGGAAGGAGTACACTAAAACCCAAACGAAAGAAAAAGGCTGATAGATGAATCATGCAAAGAGCCGAAGGATGAGAATGAATGCCTATCGCCCGTGCGACCGATCATAGTTGATGAACCTCAATCGGATGAAGGGCGAGACAATGAGGCTACCCTAGATGAAGAGGATCAAACAGCTGATAGGGGTCGTCCGCTCGGGATGGAGCCAATTGTAGAGAAGGACGAGCTACACTCGAGAGACCCGCTCAAAGGCAAGAAGGTCGATCGAGCCAAGCCCAGAGAGGACACGGAAACCATCTATCTCGACGAGCCTTATTGTACGAAGTCGCTGCGTATATGAAGAAATTTGGGTGAGCCTGTCTTGTCCAGGCTAATTGCTTTTTTGATTGAAAATGCAGATGTGTTTGCATGGACGCACGAGGACATGATGGGAATCGACCCGAATCTGGCGTGCCATAGTCTCAAGATCGACCGAGCGTACAAACCAATGATACAGAAGAGAGGAAGCTGGGGCCGAATCGACAGAAGAAGCTTGAAGGTGACGTGATCAAGCTCATCGACAACTCCTTCGTCCGAGAAGCAAAGTATTCGGTCTGGGTTTCTAACCCGGTCCTGATGACGAAAAACAACGGATCGTGGCGGTTGTGTATCGATTTCTGCGACCTCAACCGAGCCTGTCCCAAGGATAGCTATCCGTTGCCCAGCATCGACTACATGGTGGACACAACATCCAGGCACGAGCTCATGAAATGTTTTCTGTTTTGTGTGATTATTCCATGGTATTAAACCCCACAAAATGTATGTTTGGGGTCGGGCCGGGTAAATTTCTAGGATACATAGTTAGTCGAAGGGGAATCGAAGCGAACCCCGATAAAATTAAAGTGATCCTAGAATTAAAACCCCCTAGGTCCGTAAAAGAGAAGCAAAGCTTGACGGGTAGGTTAGCCGCTTTATACCGTTCCATTTCATAATCCACGGATAAGTGCAAACCATTCTTTGAAGCAATAAAAAAGAACAAGAAGTTCGAGTGGACAGACGAGTGCCAAAAAGCTATGGATCACATCAAAGAGTCGCTCGTTCAATCACCCGTCATGCAGAAACTGACTCCAGGAGAAATGTTGCATTTATATTAGGGGGTTACATCAACCGCGATCAATGCTGTGATCATTCAAGAAGAAGATTCGAATCAACATCCCATATACTACGTCAGTAATGCATTGCACTATGCCGAAGTTTGCTACCCATCGATTGGAAAGTTGATTTTTGCATTAGTAACCGCTTCGAGAAAGCTCAGGCTGTTCCTGGAACACCAAATAACAGTCTTGTCTACCTATCCGATCAGGCAGATCCTCCATCGACCGGACACATCCGGGCGAATGATAAAATGGGCGGTCAAACTCGGCCAATACAATATTCAATACCGACCTCGGACAACTATCAATGGCCAAGCGCTATTCGACTTCATAACCGAGTTCACAACAGGGGCCGAACCCATCCAAAATATGGAGACTTGGGAGATGTACATAGATGGGTTAGTGACATCGGACGAATTCAGAGGGGGGGTCGTGATAGTCAGCCCCCAGAAGAAATTATATTGTCATTCGGTCCGGGTATTTGTTCTCAGCCACCAACAACGAATCCAAATACGAGGCACTCTTATCCAGACTCGATTTAGCCGAGTCGATGAACATCACCAGTCTGAAGGTTTATTCCGATTCGATGTTGTTAGTGAAGCAGATCTCAGGAGAATTAGAGACAAAGGAATCCCGATTGATCCCGTACTTGAACTTGGCGTGCAAGAAAATGCTGAGGGCAAGCATTCAGTTGGAGCATATTCCCCCAACTGAAAATGCCCAGGCAGATGCATTAGCGTGATTGGCATCCTGCCAAAGAACCGACGAGATCGAATATGTTTATACGCGACATCAAGAAAAGCCGACTGTCCAAGTTGAATGCGTCATGACAGTCGAGAGCACGATCGAAGACAAGCCATCCAGATGGATGGATCCGATACGATTGTACTTGGAAACGAGAGAGCTCCCGACCAACCCCAAAGAGTCCAGGTCACTCAGAACCCGATCGGCGATATATACCCTCGTAGGTGGGAAAATGTACAGGAAGGGTCATTCAACTTCTTTACTTAAGTGCTTAGACGCTGAAGCGGCCGAACGAGTGCTGAGGGAAATACACGAAGGAGTATGCGAAAACCACTCAGGCGGACAAGCTTTAGTGCGCAAAATTCTCTGACAAGGATATTACTAGCCCACTTTGAAAAAGGATTCATTCAATCTGACAAGGAGATGTGGGAAATGTCAAACGTTCACCCCGAATCTAAAGCAATCGGCCCAACCACTTACGTCGGTCTTCATCCCTTTGGCCATTCGCTTAATGGGGGATAGACCTGATCGGTCCCCTACCGAACGAAAAGGGAGGAGTCAAGTACATAGTAGTGGTTGTAGATTATTTAACTAATTGGGCGGAGTCAGAACCTCTGGCCACTATCACCGAGCAAAAGATGATAGACTTCCTATGGAGATCAATCGTTTGCTGCTTCGGCGTATCGCATTCGGTCGTAACTGACAACGGGTGGCAATTCGAGGGAAAAAGGTTCAATTCGTTCTGCGAAGAACTTGGTATTCGACACCATTTTTCCACCCCCTATCATCCACAACCGAACGGTCAGGTGGAAGCTATCAACAAAATCATTAAATAAGGACCAAAGCTACGTTTGGAAAAATCGAAAGGGGCCTAGACGGAGGAGTTACCAAACGTACTATAGTCGTACCGGACCACAACGAGATCGACAGCCGAAGACATGCCATTTTCTTTAGTATACGGCTCAGAGGAGATGGTACCAGTTGAAATCGGATCGAGGACATACCGAGTGGAGAACTTTGAAGAAGAAGCCAATGATGAAGGAATGAAGACGAATCTAGATCTAATAGAGAAGTTATGGTCGCACGCGGAATTAAAGAATGCAGCTTACAAACGGGTGACAGAAAAGTATTTTGACACGAGGGTCAAGTCGCGACTCTACAAGCCGGGCCTCGTGTTAAAAAGGGTGATTGGACCGGATCTGGGTCCCCTAAAACCTAAATGGGAAGGTCCGTATCAAGTGGACGTAGTTGTAATGCCCCGTTTATTTGTGGATTATTTGGGATTTATAATTATTAATAATATTATTATTATTGTTATTATCAATTAGTGATAATATTTGTATTTATTTTCTTGAATGCCATAATATGTATTAATTGTCAAATGTGATTAAATGCTAATTGTGAAATTTGTCTAATTGATTTGTTTGTGATATATTTAAATTGTAAATGTGTATGTAATAATGTGTAAAATATATATATTTATTTTTCGGTTCATGTTTATCGCGCGTTTCCATTCGAAATCGAGCCCGATAATTTTCGTTGGAACCGAATTGGGCCCAAACATATCTGTTTAAATTTTTAATCGAGCCCGTGAGCCGATTTGTTGTCCCAACCGGCCCAAAAATCTAATTGGCCCAACTTCTCGGGCCCGGCTCGACAGATTTTCCTTTTCTTTTCGTTGGACGTGAATTCTTGTGTTGTCTTGGACAACAAGATTTTTCTTAAACCTAATACATATATATATATATATGTATTGATCGTTTGCTTTGTGCAACCAAAACACCCGCAGCCTCTGTTCGATCGAAATTTTTCTTCCTCTCTTTCACGTTGTGATATTATTGTTTTTTTCGTTCGTTCTTTGTCATCTCCCTCATCACCATCGCGATCGTTTTCCTTCATCATCCTCACGCTCGTTCTTTCATCACCATCATCGCTCGTCATCATCACCATCTCATCACCTTCGCCATCATCTCTGCGTTATCATCATCATTGTCCAGTTGGTTTTCCGGCGAGTTGCAGAAATTTCCGGCGCCTGAACCTGCTAGTCCCTCCGCGCCGCGACTGAAGCTCCGCCACGCCGCGACCCTCTCCCCGCCGCGCCGCGACCCTCTCCCCTGCCGCGCTGCAAAGCTTCCTCAGCGGTCCCCGTCATCGCTCTGAATTTTTCCGGCGAGCTCGATAACCCTTCCAGCAGCGTCCGACGACCTCTCCTTCCGTTCCCGGCGAGCCAGTGAACCAGCAGCAGCGACCTTTCTCCTTCCCGTGCACATCGAGCCTTCCTTTTTCCGGCGAGACGAGTTTACCGTCGAGCCCGTTCGAACCCATTCTCGCTCGATTCCCGAGAACGGTACCTCGTCGTCTTTCCGTCTCGTTTAATTCATATATGTTTCGTTGAATTGTTCATGTCGTGAAGTGCTCGTGTTATATATGATGTGATTTTTTAAGTGAATATGTGCAAATATATGAATTGTTGTGATTGTATGTGTTCGTATGTTCGGGATCTCTTCGATCTTCTCAAAAATCGAACGAGACCTCGAAAGTCGTGTAAGTCGGCAGATAATGGAACAATGTCGAGTCCTTGGTCTTATGAAAAGGCCTCGGACGAGAAATTTTATGTTGTGACTTAATTGCCAAGTTGTCGAGCTTGTTAATTGCTGTTTCGGTGCTCGAATTTTTAAAAATAGGTCGCTGCTCGGAACGATGTAAAATTTTGAGGGATGTGTTATCTGTTCATTGCCTGCCTTGTGTAAAATTTTCGTAATTTTTGGAGGCCTGTAGTTATTTTTAATAATTAAATTGTAATCTGTCCAGAATATTGTTAGATGCATAAAGAATTCATTCCTAACTGATTATATGTGTCATGCCTCTGTGAATTATATGTGTTGTGTTAAATTTTTAGAATTTTTGGAGTTGATTTGGTATGGTTAATATCTTATTTATTGAATCTGCAGAAACGTTGTTTGAATTTTTATAAATCGGTTACTGCATGGAAAATTTTGAAATTTTACCATGATGCATATTTTAGTTGTTTGATCATGTTTGTAAAAGATGGGAATTTTTAGAGTCCGTTTGGATTCAGTTTGGATTTAAATTTGATAAACTGCTGATGCTCGTGTGAATTTTTAAAAATAGCAGCATTTATCATTTAAGGCTGAGATTTTTATACATGAACTTTAGCATACTGTATATTGCTGTGTAAAATTTTCAAGTTCAGATTCATTGATTAAGTCTGAGTATGAATTAATGTGCCCATTTTGCTGATATACTGTTCGAATTTTATAAAATAGGGTATTTCGAGTTTAAAGCTGAAACTTTGTGGTTTTACATGTTTCTGGGAGATGAAATTTTGTGTAAATTTTCAGAGCTTAATTTGTAGGGTAGCTTGACCTTCTATTTTCATGCGATTAAATGATTTCTATTTTCGAGCATAAAATTTTTATATGGAATTTAGAAACCGACTTGCTTTTCGTTTTTATGTGAGTTTGACTTGGTCAATCCTTAGATGGATTTGTGTGAACTCCCTTAAGTGGTTTGGTTGAGCTTAGTGCCGAGTCTTAGTGTTCCACATCCACAGGACTTCATGAACTACTTAGTCGAAACGAGTTCGACTAGGTCTGTCTTGTGATTTCCGATTTAAGTCGAGATAGATTATGATTATAGGATCTTGACATCATGTAGGTGTCTAGAGGTGTTGATCTTGCCTTGTTTCGAGAATTGTGATTCAGTGAACTGTTGCGGCTATCAGGTGGGTACATTTATGATGTATTCCATATTTATCACACTCATTATTTCGTGTAATGTTTTCTTTTGAAAATTATTGTATGCATGAGAACTTTAGTCTAAGTGTCCCGAACGATAGTGCCTTTGACGAATGCATAACAGTGAGAGGTAACCTGCCCGTTGTATCCGGGAGGAGACGCCCTGATCCGTGTGTGTTTCGGGGGGGAAAAACATCTCCACTGTCTCCTGGAAAACATCCATGATCCGTGAGTAGTTCGGGGTGGACTCCCATGATCCGTGAGTAGTTCGGGGTGGGGGAAATTTTCCAGTTACAGCCATGCCGTTGTATCCGGAAGGTTGTTGTATGTACATAGGAGGTTTGCGATAGGGCCGGGTAGGGGGGTTTAGGCTATGAATTCTATGCATACGGATACTGATATTGTTTTACTGTGATACTGCTTTTTAAAATAATTATACGAGATAACTGTGCGGTAATGGTGAGCTAGTTGGTTGCTCACCCCCATTATTTTCTTGTTGTCTTCTCTCTCCCTTTGTTCTAGGTTGAGACGAGCTGGAGGCGGTGGCGTAGGACAAGCGAGATGGTGGTCATTATGTGTTGAAAACCTATGCTTCCGTATAAACTTGATATTTATTTATTTGCTATTGCACTTTGGATTAATTGTTTCGTCATTTTTCGAACTATGTTGAATTTCATTTGAACCTTGCTTTCATGCTAGTCGTTTGGGAATGGTTTTGAAATTATGATTATTGAGATTTTCCTTTTGATAGCTCGAGCATGTGTAGGTTCATTGAATTGATTTGATTGGATGTGTTTGTTTGCTGTTGTTAATGAGTAGCGCCCGTTTCTCGATAAATGTTTTAACTTGGATTAAAAAAAAAACTCTGATTTTCATTAAATAAATTCGGCAAATTCTTTAAAATAAAACGGGGCGTTACAGTTTGGTATCAGAGCCAGTCTTGCTTTTCTGTAGACTGGTTCATTTGTGATTAATTGTTATATGACCATTGACCACTCGCTTCGTCTCGCCGCGCCAGCTCAAGGTATGAAATTATGGTTTTGCTTATGTATCTGGGGCTTAGGAAATCTATCCACCTTGAAATGTTTTGAACTCTAGTGTTTCGTGGCAAACTCTAGACTTCCTATAATTATTTTTTTTAAATTTTGTTTTGGGTGTTAAACTTTTCCGGCTTGTTCAATGTAGAACAATGGCCACCCGTAATCGCAATGC